CCCCCCCGGGACAGTCCCCAAGCCCTGGCCATCCAACCCCTGCGTCCCATAGACTTATCTGCATGCAGCTGCTGGGGCTGCTCCCACTATGCTGCTTGGCTGTATTTTGGCCACATGCATGTGTGTGCGCACACGCGTATGGTGCCCTTTGCCTCCAGTTACTCTCCCGCCACTCCCCTCAGGCCCAAGCAATTACTTGTAGGCTGGAAGACTGCCAGCCTGCAAGGGGAAACATGCAGTTTCCTGTGGTTTTCTCCTTTAAAGAGGAAAATCTGTGTTTTTTTCCTTTAAAGGAGAAAATCCACCTTTTTCTACAGCAAGCAGAAAACCCGGATCCCTGATGATGATCAAGTGGAACAGAGGCTTTTCTAGCATTTGACTCAGCAGTGAGATCCGTGAAGGGACAGGAAAGTAACTTACAGTACTCTTCAGTGTTTCAGAAAACTGGCACTTACTGGGACTCTGCAATAAGAAATCTTTTAGTTTTCTTATTTTTCGCTTTACTGGGTGGTGTAGAGCTGTAAGAGAGGATATAAATTAATTTAATGCAGGACATTTGGAGGGGCACTGAATTGGAGGGCACAGAATAAACACATAAAAGGAATGCTTCTCTTCTTTAGCTGTCAGCTGATGTATATAGAATACATTCACTTCCCCATGTGGAGCCATTGGTGCTGTTCAGAGGTGGCGCTGTTCGAACCTTAGATGCGCTTTTAGCAGCACCGCAACAGGGAATTGAAAACATTATTTCGGATGAAGTCATTAGGTAAGTGACACAAATTTGGAGGGCTAGCTACACAATCCGATAAATTGATCATACAGTAGAACCCAGGTAATTTGTATCTGGGTAATATGCAGCCCACTTAGTTCGCAGGAGTTTGCTGAACTAAGGAGAAGCTGCTTAGCTCTTTTCTGTGGCTTTTATCACAAATTTTTCACTTAGCTGGAGTGCCTCAGCAGATCTCACACAGTTCTTTGCTGTGGCTGTGTACATCTCAGGCTAGATTATAAATCCTCATATTCTCAGAGACATCAGGAACAAAACCCTGAAAAGAATTTGGGTCCTACTAGATTTGAAATGAGTTGTCTGTTTTTTCTTTGTCCTAGCGTGTCTTATGCAGTAATATTCCTCATAAGGCTGTATCATTAAAGACAAGGATATGCATAAAAAGATTCTAGCAAAATTAGGTAACAGCTTAGGTTGAAGATAGTGTATTAGAGGCTTTATATCTACTGGTAGTACATCCAAAGAGTTAGTGTTATCTTAACTGTTTTAAGTTGTTTGTCTACTGAGGAATATTTGTTCTATTTGGAGCAAAAGATAATTGTACGGCTTTCTCTTTTTAGGTGGAGTGAAGCATTTGTGGACGCTCAACAGCCTGTCTTAATTTTTACTACTGAGAAAGTGAGTTTTATGTTAAACTTGTTACAGCAGCAAATCCTGTGAAATAGTCATGGAGTTTAAATCAGAACTTAAACTCTTTCTTCACCTCTCTTGCTTTATTTCCTAAATAACTACTTTTATTTTAAATATGATAGTATCTCTGTCATAGCTATTTCGTTGAGCTTCTGAGTGGTCCTCTGGTAATAATGGAGGTTTAATTGAAGAATCTGTAAAACATAATATAAACAGTAATTCTAACATCTTCTTAAACTTTGTGTACACCGCCGCAATTTTAAAACTCTTGTTTTCATGTTGATTTTTTTTTCTAAGTTACTTCAGCTCAGTCTTTACTCCATTTGCCAAAATGAGAATTTATTTTTTTCCTCCTCCAGGATAGGGATTATTTTGTATATGTGCAGAAGTTTAACCCAAATACCCTACACAAGTATAAGATTGAACAAGAAGAATCGTTCTGTCCGTTGAGTTTTACAGCATGCCTAAAAAACAATCTTGTCACTCTTCTTTGTTTGTGTAAGTCTTATTTTATAATGGGATATAAAAGTATAATAGTTTAATCGGTTGAAGCATGCACATTGACACATTTGTGTTGTTTATGAATTGCTGTTTAATATTGTAGCTCTTGTATTAAACTCCAGAATGTAGAGGCATTAATTCAAGCTACCATGAGTTCTCATGCTTTGAGGGCTGGAAAGATTTAATCCTGATCATAGTATAGTATGTGTTGCACCATAAGATGTCCTTAACACAGGGGTGTCAAACTCACCTGAGCCAGATTCCGACTGTGGGGCTTTTTCTGGGGAACATCCGCAGCAGCAGCAGGTCCAATGGCAGAGGTGGGAGACCTGGAAGGCATAGCCTTTGCTTGCCCTCCTGCTACCAGTTGCCATGCTTGGAGTCCCTGAATTCTGTGGGAGGCTCTACCCCCCAGTTCTGGTAGCCTGGTGGGCTGGTTGGGAGGGTTCCACGGGCTGAATGCATTCCATAGGCCACGTCTTTGATGCCCTTACATAAGGAATGCATTTCATTTGAAATGTCAGAAGTCAATTTAGCTTTTTATTTGTAGATTTTGATTATGTTGTTTAGCTACAGTTTTGGAAAAACTCAAGGGCACTGTTTGGGCACAACTGTTAACTTAATGTAGTGTTACTCTTCTCTTCCAACAGATTCCAATGGGTGTGTGTATAAAGTTTTGATGTCTCTGCAACAAAATGTCCCAGAGAGAGAGCAAGTTCTGTCCAAGTCTCTCCTACTCAAACTTGTAGTATCAGGCAGTGTTCTAAAAGGAACTTCATTTACTATTCTTGATAAAGATCATGTTGCAGTCCTAGGATGTTTGGATTCACCGCCTAATGTTGCTAAAGGTGATTTGAAATTAAATTGTTTTATTAAGATCTGAGGGAGAATTCATGTTAAGCATATTGATCAGTGGGTGTAATCTCCATCCTTGGATGTTTTTTAAGAGAAGGTTAGACAAACACTTGACTAAGATGGCTGTCTTGAGCAGGGGGCTAGACTAGATGACCTCTTGAGGTTGATTCAGTCCTGTTTTTGTATAATTATAAGCAGGAAAATGTTGGTTTGGTGTTGTAGTTTGTAACAAGTCAGGAATGCTTCAGCTTTTGTCAACATCTTGATTATATGGTGAGTTCTATGCATGTTGTATATCAGGCGAAACAGTAGTGCTGTGTTGGTTACTGCTGTAAGTATTGTGGAACTACACAAATTAGTGCCTTGTAGTCCAGGGGCCAACCCTTCAGGATGTGTAACAAATGGACAGACAAACAAGAATGAAGTTTACTCTTGCTATTGAATTTCATTTTTAAAACTATACTGGTAGATGCCCTCCACATTCCATAATGCAGAGAACAAAGGTGGGAAAGTTGCAGTTATACTGCAAACAGACCTGGGTGAAAAATTTGATTCCTCTCACCTTAAAAATTAATGTCTGAAATTTGTTTTCCATTCCAAGTTGGTATGAAAAGTCAAACTTGATCTCTTCCATGGGACTGAAATTTTGAACCACTTAAAAACAGTGAAACGCAAGGAATTGGGAACACTTTTGCCATTTCAGAAACAAATCATTCTAAGCTGGTGAGCAAGGAAGACAGAGTGGTTTATCCTGGGTAGGTGGCTTGTCAAATGGCCAGCTAATAGGCAACCTGCCTGTTTTCCATCTCGTCAGTCCAGTTAAGGTTCCACCAAAAAGTACTATTTCTAGCAGCTCTTAAGTTAAGGTTTTGTTAAGAAAACAACCTTCTTTTCATCTGTCAACATGTTTTCTGTTATTTATAAAGATTGGCTGCATTTATCTAACTTGTTTATACACATTCTGGAATGCAGCATTTTGTTTCCAGAAGCTTGTTTGTAAGTAAAAACAGCAAAGCAAAAATTCATATTTCTGCCATTTTGAACTAACCATGTCTCTCCACCGTCTCTCCTCTCTCTTTCTGTAGAATGGTTAACTATATGGAATACAAAGTTTCAGACATTGCAGACTTCAAAAGAACTGCCAGAGGGGACCACTGGACAAGTAAGCACTAACTTGTTTGATGCATGGAGCTATAGGTTTCAATCTAAGAAATTTGCTTTTTCATGTATGCTGGAAAAAATGTATGTGGACAACAGCTGGGCTTTTGTGCAGTGAAGCTTCTGAAGGGCTGGCTAACAGAAGTGGGTGGCAGATCTTTTAAATAATACATTGATTTAAAAAAAACCCCATAAGTTGTGAAAGTCCGTGGTGGGAAGTGCAGTCTATCAAAAATTATAACTCAGTTGAATTGCCTGCTAAATGCTATGGAAACTAGTTGAAGTTATAGTAGAGGGCAATGGCTGATGAAAAATGGAACTCCTTATCAGTTTTTAAAATCCATTTATAAGATTGATTTGTTGGTGCAGAAATCAAAATGGGCTTCTATGTCTATGAGCAGATAAAGCAGTGTGCTTAATATTTTGTAGCTGTGGTGTTACGGGGAGAAATTTTTTTTAACACATGGAAAGGTGCTATCTGTAGTAGTATACAAGTGTGAAACTTCGTCACTGGCAGCTGCTGTTGGAAAGCTCAAGGATATTCAAACCACAGGTAAGTTTCATTATAAATATTGGTTTAGCATATTCTTTCAGTTAGTACATAAGTCTTGTCTACATTTATGCTGAAAATGACACACAGAGTTCTCTAGCTTAAAAATAAGCAAGTAAATAATTGGGACCATCCAAAAATTGGTTTTGAAATGGTTTGAAAAGTAGCATAACTCTCTCCTGTTCCTTTGTAAAAATGTTCCTGAGTATATACTTCATTCATGTCATCGGCAGAAAATGTAGTATTGGTGCACTGAAACTAGTATCTTTATCGGCCTAGGTATTGGGTGTGTTCTGTCTGAAACTTTGCTTATCGGTTTTCTTTTTTAGGCTTGACAATTTTCAGTATAGAGAGTTCTCAGTATAGCTTCCTCTGGAAAATAGGGCATTGTGGAGGCAACTTGTTTTCATTGCTATTTTCTACATTTGGCAAATGCTGTTGAAAGTAACGTAGGATTAATTAAGTACGTGAAAGTCTAGAAAGACTAGAGCAACTTGTGTGCCTTTGTCCTTCACCTTTGTCTAATGCAGCCTTTGTAGTGAGCAAACTCTGGGAAGAAAATATTTAATGATCTTAAATAGACTTTTATTGTAATGGTGAAATAAGTGTGATTGGAATTAAATTTTTATTCTAAGAAATTACTCAGTATTAAAGAACTATTAAAAAAAACCTAACAGAAATAGGACTGATAGGATTATTGTTAGTTTCTCTTTTTGAGGGCCCTTTTTTGTAACTTACAGAGGCTTAATTTTGCATTTACGTAGATAGGAGAACCACGTCTTCATTTGTAAATTGGAACATGCTCCAAGAAGAAGAGCTGGCTTCTCTACAACCACAGCAGTCTGTACCTGCTAAAACTGAAACCAGGAGGACTGTAAGTTTGTCTTAGAGTTATTTTTCTCTCAGTGTTGATGCTTTAATGTTATGGATGAGAAGTGAATATGACTTCAGGATTGGCTGTGATGGCTAATAAGTGTTTCCAAATCTGGGATCTGAGATTTTTTTGAATCTCAGAGGGTGAATTTAATGCCTGAAAGAAAGAAATAATACATTCATGCCATCCTAGTCACCTTGACGAAAATTTAAAATATTTTGTCTGCTTTGGCCCTGGGGAGAGCAACTTTTGTTTTTTCCTTTAATTTCAGTTAAGATCAAGGAGGAGTGCTGCTACTAAAGTTCAGTTAGGCACCCTAACAGCTGAACAGCTTTTATTGGATATAAAGGTAAGCATATTTTAAATATCCTTCCTTGGTGAATATTTTATCTTATTAGAATCTGTCAAAATGTAACCCAAATGGCAAATCCAGTTTTGTCATCTTATGTTCTCTTATCCCTCATCTTTTTTATATACAAATAAAGTAGAACTAGGCTTGTTGGAGAATTAAACTATTTACTGTATAAACAGTGGTGCTCAACCTTTTGGCCCCTTGGGCCAAGTGAGTGGTATGGGGCTGGTCTGTGAGCCGGATGAGGTCCATGCCCCCAGATCCAGACCACAGTGCCTTCTCCCTGACCCTTTGTGCCACAAGTGGGATCCTGTGAGCCTGTGCTGCCTCCACCCAGTTCTAGTCACTGGGATCAGGGCCCCACAACTCCACACCACCCAGACCTGTGGAGAGCCTCATGGGCTGGATGGTGAGGTGCCAGGGTCTGAATCTGGCCTACAAGCTGGGGGGTTGAACACTTCCTGTTATATAATTATACAAGGATCATTCAATGCTAAATGTGCATAATACTACTTTTATTTAACATTCCCACTACCAGGTATGTATTCTCACCACTAGGCTGCAGTGTGTGACACCATATGCATATGACTTCTAAGAGTGTAATTTTTTCAGTAGTAGTTTGTTGTTTTCATTGTTGTAACCAGGCTAGAAGTAAGGTGGTGGTGGTGATCTTATTAGTTCGGATTCTGAAATACCGCATCTCTCATTCTAACGAGTAACAACATGGTAGTCGTCAACCTTCCAGCTCTATCACTTCTGAACTGGGTAGTATTGCTCCTTTCCAGGACTCTTCCGAAAATGTTATTGAAGAGGAATTGAGGCACTTCTTGACAAATGCACAAATGGCAGATTTCCAGGCTATGATTGGGCGCATAATGACAAATCTTCTGAATAGATGTAAAACCGAGCCTACGTTTTACCCTCAGAATTGCCTGGTACAGCTGATCCAGACACAAGGGCTCTCGTACAGGTGATACACTTCTCTTTTTAAACATGCATCAAACATGGGTTTAACTGTTCAAAAATTCATTTTCAAAAATGGGAGTGTAAACTCCCAAACCATTTAGGTGCTTTAGAAAATTTTACCTTTGAATCTTGAATCTCTGGATTCATTTTATCAAAGAAAGCGATGGCAATTAAAAAAAAACAAAACAAAACAATTTTCCCCCAGAAGGACTGGCAGGATTTTCATAATATCTCAGTAATTTATGTATGTCCTAATATGGGCATTAACTTTTTATTGTCTTGCAGCTTATGTCCAGACTTGATGGCAGTAGCTTTGGAGAAAACAGATGTGCATTTATTGCAACTTTGTCTGCAGCAATTCCCTGACATTCCCGAATCAGTTACTTGTGCCTGTTTGAAGGCATTTTTAAGGTAAGTAGGAAGCAGACTATTGTTTTCTTTCTGGTTAACGAAGTGCTTGGGTACAAAGAGTGCATTTCTAAGATGCACTTCAGAGTCCTGAAGGTATGTTCTGATGGGTCAGAAGTCGGACACTATTTCAAGAACCTCCAGAAACTAGAGATTGACTGATTCCATAGTTCTTTTAGAATGTCCTTTATCAGAAGACTACACTGAAGACCTGAATTATCATCATACGCATAGTTTGTTTGATTGTCTGCCAAAGGGGGAGTGTCACAATCGGGATTACTATTGGTACTATTAAAGGGGACCTCTCTGATAGGTTTTAGGATGAGACTTGATCAGTTTTGCCTATAAACAGAGTTCTGTGTATCACACCACTATCTGTCACCTTTACAAAAATTTTTGAACTAGTGAATTTCTGTCTTTAACATTACATTTCATAGATAACATTGTTAGAGCAGGCAAGAATGACTAGTGGAAGTCTATGCTGTATAATATGTACCTCATAATGCAAGGATCCATACGAGCTCATTTAAAACTAGAGTGAGCATCAGAAGCAGTCTAGCCACAGTGGTGTGGAGTTCTACTTGTGCTAATTTTACTCTTTATGTTATGTTAGCTACCCTATCTCTACGCTATATCACATTCTGCAGCATATACGTACCTTCAGTAGCAGTTCTAAAAGTTGCCCAACTACCTCAGCATCCATCTTCAGTTGGGTTTTTCCAGATTGCGTTAAATAATTTATTCTCCATAAAGCATTTAGTTGTCTTAGGTTCTCCACATGGTAAAACCACTGTAAGAGGAACAAACCTGGAAATATATTTTTCTGAAGCATGACCCATACTGTCTTGCTAAAGAGGGTAAAGAGAGGACTTTCCTGTCCCTGGACTCTTTAATGGCTTGTTGTATAAATTTTACTAGGGATATATACCTGTCTTGTATAGCTTCAGCTTGCTCTGGTGAGTTTATAGGACAAACTAAGCATATTTTAAGTTGATTTATTTTAGTGTCCAAAATATTGCTCCAGTTTTAACTGAGTTGGTCTGAATTAACAACTTAAATGGATTCAAGTGAAAACTAGCCCTTAGTAACTTCTGAACTACTATTTATTAAAAGATGTAGTCCTAGAAGGTGAAATGTTACGTCTAACTGTGCAATAAGTCTGTTTATTACAGGAATTCTACAAATGGTTTAGATTACCAAAACTTACTGCATGGAGAATCTCATTTAAAATGAACTAACTCCATTTAAAATATTCAAAAATATTGTTAATATTAGCAGCTAGTTGTTTAGAAAATTTGGAATATACTAAATTTTGGAAAAATTATACCTGTTTTTACAAATAAACTATTGTAGAATCAGATAAACTGACGGGACTCCTGAATGTAAAAAATATACAAATATTAAGCATTTAATATTTTGTCTGAAATTCTTTCCTCCCTGTAGCATTAGTGATGACAGCCTTGAAGGAACAAATGTGAATTTAGATTCTGTAATCTGTTACATCGATATTGCTGACAATGATAAAGTGGAAAAACAAACAGGAACTGTGCAGAATGGTTTCAGTTCTGAAATGCTGGAAGATGACATCTCTGATATTCAGTTAACACAGAAACCCCATATGATAGATTCCAATGATTCATGCCCTGTTGGACCACAAAAGGCAGCACTCCTGTATCCTTTGTAAATATGCATTTTTAATATTAAATGAATTGGTATTTGCTATGGGCATTGCTCCAGAGTCTGTTTCGCCTGTTGTAACCATTAAAACTTTCTTGGTTGAAATACATTGGACTTAACTACTTTGGGTGCCTGTACACAAGTGAGGAGGCTGCTCCAACACACTGTAATTACAGCAGGTCGGAGCAGACGCAATTAATCAAGTCTGCTGGAGAATGGTAATTGCCATGCTCCAGCAGCTTCCCACCTCTCGTGTATCAGCATCCACTTGCTTCAAAATGGCTGCAAGGGTGCTTTATCTGAAGCTCAATCGAATGACCTTTAGGTAAAGCGCCCCTGCTGCCATTTTGAAGCGCAGGGATGCTGATACATGAGATGCTCTAGGGTGCTTTAATTAGAGTGGCTCTCAGAGGCACTCTAAAGTGCCCCCCCCAGCTGTAGAGCACACATATAGATGCCCTTTATGTCCAGTTAGTAAATAGATACGCTTCATATTCATGCTGAAATAATATTTAGAAAAAAATAAGCCACTTTTCTTTGAATGTGTTGTACTAGTAAAAAATTGGTCTGAATGTTAGTTTTACTGCTAGAGTATTTAACTTTTTTTTTGGCTAGCAAAGGGTTACATAACTACTTCCATGGTAGAAAAGAATTCAGAGTAAACCACAGAACTTGGTCACTGAGACATAAGTGTATATATCATGATGAAAGTGCAAGTACCAGAAAGAAGACCATTTGGAAACCAAAACAAGTACTTCTCTGTAAAATCCAAGAAAACTACTTCATGGTTTTTTTAAAGCTGTATTAACTATGGTACAAGTAAGTGGTCCTTTTCTCTGAAGTTGTTTCCTTAATAATCTTACACAGAAATGCCATTCTTCGTTCAGCATACAGCGAAACATTTCTGTTGCCTCATCTGAAAGATCTTTCAGCTCAGCAAGTTATGGTGAGCATGTTATACTTGTTAGAACTAATTAGTGTAGGACTTTTGCTAAGAATCAAAAAATCTACCATATTCTTTGATATTTTACAGTTAGGGTGGCCAAAATCTGGAACCAACTTCCCAGGAAAGTGGTCCTCGCCCCTACCTTGGGCAAATTCAAGAGGAGGTTGGACGATCACCTGTCTGGGGTCTTGTGAACCCAGCATTCATCCCTGCCTGTGGCAGGGGGTCAGGCTAGATGGTCTGTTCAGGTCTGTCCTGACGGTAGCTACTATGAAACTATGGATTCTAAGTCATATGGACTTTGTTTTGAATAATTGGTTTAAGAGGTCCAGTAAAACTTAATGCTACATAGAGTATGGGAGCTTTAAAGTTTAAGTGAATTTTCACAGAAAGCAGGTGCTTTTGTTTTTCTTGAATATAATTCCTAGAGTAACTCGTTTCATAATCTAGCTTCAGAACTTGTAGCTATTGCTTAAGATAAAACCTATTATCTGTACTGTAATGTAGAGTGATCATATGTCCCCTTTTAGCTGGGACAGTCCTGGATTTCAGAAGCTGGTCCCGACTGTCTTTTGGGAATTATAATGGGCATCCCAGAAGTCCGGCCAGGAGTCAGAGCAGCACGGATCGCCTTGCAGGCACAGACAGGCACCGCTGCCTGCCCCGCATGCAGCCCCACCCCTACCAGCTTGTGGGAACGTGGGGGGGAGTATCCAGATTTCCATATGAGCAGCCTATTTTAATAGCAGTGTCTCTAAATCACTATTTTGCCCCCTTTCCTGGGTTTCTTTCTCGCAATAGTAAGGGACAAATTTTAAATAATTGTGAAATCATTCATTGGTTGAAGGTAGTTAATGGCATGCCTATTACTAGAAGCAGTTAACTTGATGTGGAATTTATTTATTAGAATAAACAAATACTTTCACTTATCCTGTGTACTTGCGTATGTTCTGATGCCCAGATTCTTAAACTGTTCCTATATAAGTCTAGTATTGGACCAGTTCCTTTACACTGGTTTTCCTTTTCTTTTGATGGGGGTGGGAGCAGGGATAGAATCCTATGGACAGAATACTCTTGGTCTGATTCTGGTTGTCCCTGAAATGAATGTGTTTTGTCATTAACATCAGTAGTAGCAATAGTGGGCCCTGTTTTGAAATTTAAGATGGATTTGGGTATTCTTTAAATGACAGAAATGTGGATCCATCAGTGCAGTGCTTGGTGCTAAATCTCTTAGAATGTGCTTGAAATGCATGATTTCATGGACAGTTGAAAACATTCTAATACCTAAAACTAATTAATTGATCAGAAAATAATAGCTATAAATCTGTTTAAACTGCTTAAAAATTAGACATTTAACTGTTTTTCTTTTTTTAGCTCTTTCTCCGGTATCTGCGGTACTTGTATGAGAAATGTAGTGAAAAAGTTAGTATGGATCTTCCTGGTGTTCTTTGTCCAACCATAAACCAGGTGAGATATTAGCATTAAGGATTACTCTAAATATAACTCAGCTATTATAAAATTATGACATTTATCAACTAGAAATTGATCTGTACTTCCCACAGTGCTGTACAGACTTGATTACACATTAATGGATGGATGTCTTTCCAAAGTTGCATGAAAGACATTTTTCATGATATGCAAGCAAAAGGGCTTTTCTACAGACTGAATCTCAATATATGTGTTTCACTGGAATCTTTCAGTGTAATCTGTTAAGCTGAAGTCCTTGTGCCTGATTATGTACTTTAAAATACACGTGTGAAGGTGCTGACTTGTCGCATTTGTTTTTCAGATAATGGACTGGATGTGCCTATTACTAGATGCCCATTTTACAGTTGTGGTGATGCTACCAGAGGCAAAAGGATTGCTTTCTAACCTCCATAAGTTTGTTAGGGCCCAAGTAAGTTATACTTACATTAATAAGGATTTAGTACCATAGAAATGGATTGTAAATATAAATAATAATAAACGTTGTAAAATAATGATCATAAAGCATTACTTTGAAAGCAAAATATTATTACCTAAAATCAAAAGACTACTGTCTTCCATTCTCTACAGCCACAGGAATAACTGTCTTGTAGTGGTCCTGTGTTTAGTTAAAATCATTCAGACTGAAGGTGCACCCAACCATTGTGAATTGCTGGCATTACTTTCATGTATGAAAAGAATTATTGTGTAAGCTTTATAACATAGATATTTTCAATTTCCTTTTTAGGTACGATTTTACTCCGAACTCAACAAGATTGAAGCAAGCTTGCAAGAGCTACAAAGAATAAAGCACCAAAAAGACATTGACTTGTATTCTATAGAAGTGCTAGAACTTGTTTGAACTTTATACACATTACTCATAAACTTATATTTTATGAATCTCCCTGTTCTTATAAGGATTTATTTTCTCCATATTGGGGAGGGATGAGAGAAGCTGAGCCTTTCTGTGAATGGTGCTCTAGCTACACGTGGTGATGGATGCAAGTTTGAAGCCTGTGTTTTAAAGAAATCATCTTTCCACTAGAAATTATGTTGGAGAGTTACTAACCTAAGCCACAACAACCATATGAGGAAAATATGTTCACAGTAATATTCACAAATGTGGTTTTTAGCAAACATATGTTGGTAAAATTACTTCATAAATATGGTCTTGGTGGACAGTTCAATATATGAGAAATGACAATATTAAACCATACAAGAATTCATCAGCTATATTTATAAAGTGGGAAATGTTTAGATTAGTGTATAAACTTTTTTTAACACCTTATGCTTGGTTTCCCAATCTGGATCTTGCTGGCAATCTGACTGTACAGGTTGCAAAACATGATACATATGGAGTAAAGAACCGATTTCTCATCACTCTTAGATTCTGTTCTTTTTTCCAAAAGACAAAAATGAGGTTCTTAAGTGTCATCAGGTTCTTAGCAATCAGGACTCGTGGTAGAGGTGATAGACCAACTAGACCACTCTAGACCAACTAGATTTTTGCAAAAAAAATTCTTTAATTGCAAGCTTTCAGGCACAAACACCCTTCATTAGGCACAGGAGAAAAGATTGTAAAAGTTATCCGGGTAGAAATCGGGTTCTTTCTCTTTTATGAGGTTGGATCCTGAAAAGAGTGCTTTTCTTTCGCGATAGATGAGAATAGTGCGGTCATGCCGAACAAAGACTTTATTATGCTGCTTTCTTCATTTTTTAAAATACATTTTAGTGTCTGATTTTTTTTTTTTAGGACGTTTTCATAGCTCCACCATTTTCTCCAGATAAAATAGGGAGGAATCTTATTCCCTTGTCCTAGAGCAAATCTTAAAATTACTGAGATGACTAACTCTCCTACTACCAGCAGAGGCAAGGATTACACTAAGTTCAGGGTCATCTTGGTTCTCTGTACATGTAATAAGAGCTAAAGCCTTTGATCAGATATTTTATCAACTCTTCTTTCCCACTCAGCTGGGAATTGTGGACATATCAAGCTTATTGCAATCTGCATTGTTCCCCCCTCCCCCCTTCCTATTTTTTTTTTTTAATTGTGCTTTCTTTGCTTTGGAGCCTGCAAACCTACCTCTGAGAAGGCAGTATGAGGCAGGATGGTCCAAAGGAGAATAAGCCATTGAACTGTTGACTCATTGACCTAGGTGCTGTTTTCTTATCTGCCCTGACATAAGTTTTGATTCCTTTCTTGTGCTACGTCAAGTGCATGTATAGCAAGAGGGCATATTCAAGAAAATCTTAGGAGAAGCCAGTTGAGAGTCCAGGGAGAAAGGTAGATGGAAACTGCTCTTAAAACTTGGCCATTTAGGAGGTATGCCATAAGTAGCCTTGGAGAGAGGCTTCAGCTGTTTGACTGATAACCAAATGTGAGAGAGTTTCTTTTACCAAGGGGTTCCTTAGTACCTGTAGGGTTAGACTTGCAACCAAATGAACAATGATGCATATCTTACTCTAAACAGGTCTCCACCCTCTTAGCTAAAGCTAGAACCTAGACAGTCTTCTGACTTGGGGATCTTAAGTATTTACTTAGATCTTAAGAAAAGAATAACCACTTAACCACAGCCCAATAGTCTACAGTCTAGCATACATATATTTGTCACTGAAATGTCAAAGGGCTAGATTATAAACATGCTGGACTTTGCTGGTACAGTTTTGAATCCTTTTTAGAATTAACCATGTGTGATTGTGCTCTCTCTCTGATGATCATGAGAATATTTTCATAAAACGCTCTATAGTATGATATAACTTAATGAATCTTTTTGTGGTACTGAATATGATTTATTCTCAAAGGGTCAGCATAATTGCACATGACCAGCCTTCCTTGTTCCTGGAAAATCATACAAAGAAAATTTATCTCTGTTTTTACATCAATGCTTTGGGTTTTGTATAGTTAGAGTGGCATTTGGTATATATGGGACACTTTCTACACTATACCCTTGCTTTAAATTTTAACTCTGATGGTTCACTGTCTAAAATAAAGAATGTCTGGTCACCCTTTCTGTTAAGGATAAATTTATAAATGGTCAATACATGATAAAGTGCTATTTTATATATAAATACACACACTTAAGTGGAAGGTGTTCAGATTTTCATACAAACTTCTATTGAATTTTAACAGTTGCTGAAGAAAACACTTCTAGATTAAGACTTTTAGTATAACAAGACTAAAAATCTTCACTTTAGCAAAAGCTGACATGAGCTAATTGAAAATGGAACAAGGAAATTCCTCTGTTCTCTCTTGAAGTCCAGTGCAAACCTGTAGTGAAGCTGGATGGGAAAAGTCTTATTATTTCAGACATCATTCTATTCCACATTGCGACTGGACACACGTTAGGACAGAGCTTTGAAACTGCAAAAAAACAAATTTGCTTTCTTCACTAGCCAATAGGGCAAGCATTTCTCTTCCATCTCCTAGGAGGATGTCCTGGGATCAAGGCCTGTTCTTGATTCAGAGTAGGAATTTGAACCTCTGTTTCCTACAGGGTTAGGGCACTCACCTGCTACTTGGCTAGTTTAGGGCTGAAAAGCCAAACCATAATGCATTACCTTGAAACTCCAGAGTTGGAATCTTTCAGAAAATAGTGCAACGGTTAACTCCTTCCTTTTCAAAAAGAAATGTGGTCAATATTTCCATAATTTTAAAAAATGTACCTTAATCTCCTATGAGAGGTGTCCACCTTTGTAAAGTAATGCTATTGCTGAAATAGATTGTGTAATTAAAAATGCTTGTAATAATGGAAAAAATATCCTTTCAGTCTAGATCAAAATTGGATGGTAATTCTATTAAGAATTGGTCCCGAGAGAAAAGTGTAAATTTGTATAGTTTTATTTGTAGATATGTTTATTCCTATTTAAACTGTTCTTATATTGGACCTTTTTTAACAGCAAATTTTAAGTTGTCTGTCCTTGTTAGGGGCTTAAAGTATCCCTTGACTATGTCCATGCTCTGCTGAAATGTCTGATCTCTTTCACTTTTTTTTAATGCACTGTGAGCAGCGTTCCATTGTTAGAGTGGCTTTAAGCAATAAATCTTATCAAGCAGTACGTATTACACTTGTTTTCTTTATCTTAATGTTGTCCAAAATATTAGCCAAGATGTTAGTATTTATATCGATAATAAAATCTCAGTTAAAGTTCCATGGGTCTCACACTTTGTCTACTGCATCCGAAGTAAAAGCATACTTGAGTATGCTTGTTTAAATATGTGCAACAGAAACGATATTTAAATGACATTTGCATACATAAGTTAAAAGCCAACATATGCATGAAAGTTATGATATAATTTGGAAAGAAGCTTTGGCAGGACAACAAGGAAATGCGTAATTTAAGTATACTAGGAACTCCCTTCTCCAGTGGGCGCACAGCTTAGTCTGAGACTTGTTTTCCCACTACATTTTAAACCAGGGGTGGGCAAAATGTGGCCTGTGGGCCAGATGTTGCCCACCAGGACATTTTCTCTGACCTGTAGGGCCCCTAAAAATTTAGAAAATTAATATTTATTTGCCCGGGCTGCCTGTCATGCGGCCCTCGATGGCTTGCCAAAACTCAGTAAGCAGCCCTCCGCCCGAAATAATTGCCTGACCCTGGTTTAAACAAATTGCCAGGTAAGATTATCACCCCAGGAGGAGGAAATTCAGAAGAATCTGATGTAGGCTGAATAATAGGTCTTGATGTTAACACTTGTTAAAGTGAAGGGGGAAGTTAGGAGCAGCTAAGTGTTGATAATAGCTGGAATTGTTTGTAGACACTTGCTTAACATTTTTGAGCTTTTCTTCATAACCATAAGAGAATTTTCTGATGCCATAGATTATGATGTAATCCATGCAATTCCAGCAGCCAGGGTTCCCAATATAACCCTTGGGTGGTTGTTTTAATATAGCCCCAGTAGAAACCTATCCTCTTCACTACTCTCTCTCCCTTTCTGCGTTTATCAAACCAGAAAGGAAAAATGAACGTCCAGCCCAACAAACTTGTTTTGCATTAAATAATTTTCATGCTTGGTACAACAGAATTCTTTGACTAAGCAAGACAAATGTTCTTTAGCAAATCTCTGTGCTGAGAGGAAGGCCATATAACTTTGAATATGTTCTGTTTGCTAGGTGAGAATACCGCTCATCCTGGTATCTATATTTTCTTTGATAATTAGTTATTTCTAGCAAGATGCTCCAGAGTGAGGAAGTTAGGTATAATGTGTCATAATCTCTCTCCAGTTCTAGCTCGAGCAACGGAACAGAAAAGAGTTTGTGTCAAAGGTTCAGGCACACTTGCTTTTCTGACTTCAGTTCACCCAGTTTTTATGCCCCCTCATTTTGCTTTGCATTTCAGGTTTGACCTGGGAACAAATTTAAGACAAATCAGCTGGTTTTAGCCTCAAAACCATAAAGGGCCCTGTTTATACTAAATGTTTGCAAACCTAATACTGACTTTGAAGGTTATTGTTAAACACAAAGTGGATAAGTTTTGGTTCCAGGGTCTTTAATAAATAACCACTGTATTATTTTATCAAACACTAATTCTATTTGAGCAAAAGTCTAGGGTTTTTTTCCTACCTCTTAAGAAAGAACATGGAGAAAGATCAGTGGCATATGCAAGATTGAAACTCATGTCTTGGCTCCTAGTTGTATGCACACACCTCTAAAGTAGACTACACGCTTTTCTCATAGTTGAGTGCACATGCAGGTGCACACAGGACAAAAGCAGATGAGTTTGGAAGGAGTTCTAGAAGATACAGATTGCAAATGGGATGCAACATTTTGCTTGCTACTGTGGCGGTAGCTGAGTTGTACTGTGCTTAACATGGCTCTGCATGCACCCCTGGGTGCCTGCAAAGAGTACAAATTAATCTAAAAGATGAAAGAAGAAAAAAAATGGATATGGGAGTCTTTAATTTCTATGCAGGACAACTTTTACAATCTTTTCTCCAATGCCGATGAAGGGTGTTTGTGCCTGAAAGCTTGCAAGTAAATAATTTTTTTGCAAAAATCTTGTTGGTTTAATAAAAGATCATCTCTACTACCAGTCCTGATTGGATACAGGAGTGCAACTTGAGTGCCCTCATTGAAGAGCTGCTGCATGCTTGGTGCTGTGCAGGTTTCTCTCCCTAACTGCTCTCAGATTTAACAACATTAAAAAGGCACATTTTAAAAAGAGATTAAAAGATGAGCGAAAATAAGAATGGGAGGCTAGCTAAGCACTGCTGATATATCTGTAACAACTGTGGAGCAAGGATAGATGCCCAGGCTGTGCAGTAACTGCATGGAGGTGTTCAGCCTGTCCAGAAGGAGAGTGGCCTAGCTTTGATGCTACAACTGGATGTTGGACTTTAATAAATTGTTCAGCCCCCCCAGAAGGAGAGTGACCTAGGTCTGCTTGATGCTACATCTGGCTGTTGCACTTTAATGAAGTGTTGTTCACTCTGTCCAGAAGGAGAGAGTGGCCTAGGTCGGCTTGATGCTGCAGCTGGATGTTGCACTTTAATAAAGTGTTGTTCAGCCTGTCACAAGGAGAGTGACCGAGGTCCGATGCTACAGCTGGATGTTGGACTTTAATAAATTGTTCAGCTTGTCCAAAAGTAGAGAGTGACCTAGGTCTGATACTACAGCTGGATGTTGCACTTTAATAAAGTGTTTAGCCTGTCCAAAAGGAGTGGCCTAGCTCCGTCTGATGCTGCAGCTGGATCTTCCACTTAAAAGTGCTGTTCAACCTGTCCAAAAGGAGAGTGACCTAGGTCTGATGCAACAGCTGAATGTTGCATTTTAATAAAGTGCTGCTCAGCCTGTCCAGAGGGAAAGTGGTCTAGGTCTGTCTGATGCTACAGCTGGATGTTGCATTTTAATTAATTGCTGTTCAACCTGTTCAAAAGAGGAGAGTGACCTAGGTCTGATGCTGCAGCTGGATCTTGGAGTTTAATAAATTGAGTGACCTGGGTCTGATGCAACAGCTGGATGTTGCATTTTAATAAAGTGCTGTTCAACCTGTCCAAAAGGAGCGTGGCCTAGGTCTGATGCTGCAGCTGGACGTTGCATTTTAATAAAGTGCTGCTCAGCCTGTCCAGAAGGAGCATGGCCTAGGTCTGTGTGATGCTACAGCTGGATGTTGCACTTGAATGAAGTGCTGTTCAACCTGTTCAAAAGGGGAGAGCGGCCTAGGTCTGCTGCTGCAGCTGGACAGTGCCCTGCAATGGGGAGGTGTGCAGCGTGTCCAGAAGGAGAGTGGCCGGGTCTGATGCTGGATGTCACTTTAATAAAGTGTCCAGAAGGAGAGAGTGGCCCAGGTCTGCCTGATGCTGCAACTGGATGTCGCCCTTCAATGGCGCCCGGCGCCGCTCGCAACAGCAGCAGGACCCCCCCCCCCGGGCGGGGCAGCCGCCCCTTCCCCGCTGCCCCGGGGCCCAGGTGAGCGCGGGGGGTGGGGTGGGGG